CGGCCCAGTTCAGGATAAGCGGTGTTGAAAATGGATGGATGGGTGGATGGACTACGACAAAAACAGTGAAAAATGAAGGTCACACAAAATGAAAGCAATCTCCCACCTATAAGAATAAATACAGGACTTATAAACAGTAACCCATAGCAAAAAAATGAGCCCATAACACACATCCAAGTTCCCACACTCGACATCTATAATAGTTAAGTAGTAACATTTGTGACGTGGTGGTGTGAGCTGAGGAGGAACAAGCCCTGGGGCAAAGACTTTTAGAGTTTCCACAAACACCAGTTTATTCTCAACAGAATAACAGTTCCTCAGCTTCACCCCACAATACTTATGAGCACTGCCCGACCGAGTCCATGACAACAAAAAAGTGTTCTCAGGAAGTTGAAGAGAAAGGTGACCAATGGAAATAGTCAATTAAAGAGGCGCCACCATGTGGCGTGATACCAGACTACAATAATGGATTGTTACACATTGTACATGACAAAAAAGGAAGGTCTCTATCAGGAACAGCAGCCTTCAGTGTTCAATAAGGCATCTGCCACTTGTCTTTGCCTTTCTTGTGCTAAAATAAGACTATGACCTTGGATCAACAACTCCCAATGCATTAACCGCTGATTGTGGTTGGACATCTTCGGCAGGAACATGAGAGGGTTGTGGTCAATATAAATAGACAAAGGCCCGGCTGTGGGTTGAACCGACTAAAAATGGGCTAAAAATCATAGCAAAGGTTTCTTTTTCCAATGGTGAGAAATATGACACAGGATGGGGGACACAAGTGTCCTCCTACAACAGAACAGCTCCTGCTCCGATGGCAGCAGCTGTGCTTTCATAGTTGCGATGATTGAAGAAAACCCGCTTGGCTTGGAGTACTTAACCCTTTTACACAGCCAACAAACGGGTTGATTTATGATAGCATGACATCAGGAAAATAGATTGCACAGCGTCCTAATTCGTCTCGGCCAGTGTCTGGCGATCTGAATAACAATAACAACCTATGACTTCCAAGAAAGAAAAGGCTACATTATCAGGAGTCCTACTTAAGACACGAATTTATCTCAATGGGAGATTCCCAAGCACCAAGCCCACTCTGCATAATATGCGGCGATGGTGAGTCGTATTTTTCCATGCACTTTTTAATTTGCCGTTTATCTTATTTTGAAGGCACGTTTAAACGTTACCATAGCGACCAGAGGGCGTCGCGATCAGATCGGAAGTTCCTCATGTCACGTGTCGTGTTCATTATTATGTTACGAAAATACCAATGTTTTCATGCAGGCCATGCAGTCCTTTCGCCACACACGCTTACACGCACGCTGACACAAAAGGCAGAACCGCCTAGACTACAGTTAAATGATCCCCGATTTGAATGAGAAGCATTTTAACCATGATGTAAAAGTTGGGATACTCGGACCCAGCATCTCCCAAAGGTAGCAGGCAGAGAACAGCCTACCTTTACTAAATCCCGTGAGATTTCTCAAACTCACGTTTGTTCTCGCCATGTTTTGACCATTCTTACGACACAACCGCTCGGTATGTTTGTTGTTGGGTAATTTTAAAACACGGTATTGTTTTGGTGTTCCTTTTCCACACTGCTCTTGCCTTACTAAACAAGCTTTGAGCTTTTTACATCACCGAGACGCACAGCCGAACAACAACACAATTGGTCAAGTTTGTTAATCAAAATATGAAATGAGTCAATCAAGAGTTATATGTGATGTGTTGTGGATGCATATGCATTGGGTGTGCTTTTATATGTCATAAGTGGGTTTGATCCCCCCCCCCCCCCCCCAGCATAACATTTTTTCATTGTAGTCGAAGGGCTGACATGTTCCATTATCTCTTGCCACATTGGGAAAGTAATTGTGAGCAAACTTACAATTTATTGAGCGGCTCAAGGCTGAAGATTGAAAACAACAGGGGATGTACGTGCAGTGTCCGGCAACGTGTTGATTTGAGCCTTTGCTTAAAAGAAAAAAAAAAAGCTTGCTAATTGTGTTCACGTTTTTGACAAACTGTGCTGTTAAGACTGACATGCTGTGGATCTCGGAAGTGGCACAATAACTGAAGAGACGTTATTTTGTGTGTGGCACAGCACAGTCATGGAGACGAGGTTGATTCACAGAAAAAGATTGGACATTTATTTCGAAAATTCTTGATCAAAGACTCACTGGCGGTGTAGTGATACACTCGCCTGACTTGTGTGAGGGCGGCATGGGATCGGCTCCCACTCAGTGACGGATGGATGCAGGTGTGAATGGTTGTTTGTCAATATATGTGCCCGGCGACTGATTGGCGACCGGTTCAGGGTGCCGTCTCCCTGCGGCCCAGTTCAGGATAAGCGGTGTTGAAAATGGATGGATGGGTAGTGATACACTCGCCTGACTTGTGTGAGGGCGGCATGGGATCGGTTCCCACTCAGTGACGGATGGAGGTGGGTGTGAATGGTTGTTTGTCAATATATGTGCCCAGCGACTGATTGGCGACCGGTTCAGGGTGTAGTGTGCCTTCTACCCGAAGTCCTTCTCCCTGCGGCCCCGTTCAGGATAAGCGGTGTTGAAAATGGATGGATGGGTGGATGGACTACGACAAAAACAGTGAAAAATGAAGGTCACACGAATACAAAATGAAAGCAATCTCCCACCTATAAGAATAAATACAGGACTTATAAACCATAGCCCATAGCAAAAAAATGAGCCCATAACGCACATCCAAGTTCCCACACTCCACATCTATAATAGTTAAGTAGTAACATTTGTGACGTGGTGGTGTGAGCTGAGGAGGAACAAGCCCTGGGGCAAAGACTTTTAGAGTTTCCACAAACACCAGTTTATTCTCAACAAAATAACAGTTCCTCAGCTTCACCCCACAATACTTATGAGCACTGCCCGACCGAGTCCATGACAACAAAAAAGTGTTCTCAGGAAGTTGAAGAGAAAGGTGACCAATGGAAATAGTCAATTAAAGAGGCGCCACCATGTGGCGTGATACCAGACTACAATAATTGATTGTTACACATTGTACATGACAAAAAAGGAAGGTCTCTATCAGGAACAGCAGCCTTCAGTGTTCAATAAGGCATCTGCCACTTGTCTTTGCCTTTCTTGTGCTAAAATAAGACTATGACCTTGGATCAACAACTCCCAATGCATTAACCGCTGATTGTGGTTGGACATCTTCGGCAGGAACATGAGAGGGTTGTGGTCAATATAAATAGACAAAGGCCCGGCTGTGGGTTGAACCGACTAAAAATGGGCTAAAAATCATAGCAAAGGTTTCTTTTTCCAATGGTGAGAAATATGACACAGGATGGGGGACACAAGTGTCCTCCTACAACAGAACAGCTCCTGCTCCAATGGCAGCAGCTGTGCTTTCATAGTTGCGATGATTGAAGAAAACCCGCTTGGCTTGGAGTACTTAACCCTTTTACACAGCCAACAAACGGGTTGATTTATGATAGCATGACATCAGGAAAATAGATTGCACAGCGTCCTAATTCGTCTCGGCCAGTGTCTGGCGATCTGAATAACAATAACAACTGCTTTCGCCAAACTTATTAATAAAAAGTGTCAAATTGCTGATTCATGATTCTGCTTCGTTGTATATTAGAGCAGCGGTCTCCAATCCCCGGGCCGCGGACCGATGCCGGTCCTCGGATCATTTGGTGCCGGGTGCACAGAAAGACTAAATAGCTTACATTACTTCCGTTTTATTCATTTCGGAATGTGAAAGATGTTTTATTTTGAAAAATTCCCGGATTTTCTGTTATATCCGTAAAGTATGTCACCGGTGATGCAGGTGAAGGCGGCGCTTCTCGGTCACGTGATAGGTTACTGCTAAAAATCAGGGGTGTCCAACTTCGGTCCTCAAGGGCCGCTCTCCTGCCTGTTTTCCAGCTCTCCCAGGAGCAACGCACCTGATTCAAATCATCAGGAACGTTCTAACGCTGCTTCAGAGCTGGCTGATGAGCTGATCATCTGAATCAGGTTTGTTGCAGCCGGAAGAGCTGGAAAACAGGCAGGACAGTGGCCCTCCAGGCCCGAATTTGGACATGCCTGGCTAAAATGAATCCCAAGCGCTAGCAAAATGAATTGAAAAAAAAACAAACGTCTTTGCCAAGTTCCTATGGGAACGGGAAAATGCCCATCCAGGCGACAGAAGAGGAGCCTATGACTTCCAAGAAAGAAAAGGCTACATTATCAGGAGTCCTACTTAAGACACGAATTTATCTCAATGGGAGATTCCCAAGCACCAAGCCCACTCTGCATAATATGCGGCGATGGTGAGTCGTATTTTTCCATGCACTTTTTAATTTGCCGTTTATCTTATTTTGAAGGCACGTTTAAACGTTACCATAGCGACCAGAGGGCGTCGCGATCAGATCGGAAGTTCCTCATGTCACGTGTCGTGTTCATTATTATGTTACGAAAATACCAATGTTTTCATGCAGGCCATGCAGTCCTTTCGCCACACACGCTTACACGCACGCTGACACAAAAGGCAGAACCGCCTAGACTACAGTTAAATGATCCCCGATTTGAATGAGAAGCATTTTAACCATGATGTAAAAGTTGGGATACTCGGACCCAGCATCTCCCAAAGGTAGCAGGCAGAGAACAGCCTACCTTTACTAAATCCCGTGAGATTTCTCAAACTCACGTTTGTTCTCGCCATGTTTTGACCATTCTTACGACACAACCGCTCGGTATGTTTGTTGTTGGGTAATTTTAAAACACGGTATTGTTTTGGTGTTCCTTTTCCACACTGCTCTTGCCTTACTAAACAAGCTTTGAGCTTTTTACATCACCGAGACGCACAGCCGAACAACAACACAATTGGTCAAGTTTGTTAATCAAAATATGAAATGAGTCAATCAAGAGTTATATGTGATGTGTTGTGGATGCATATGCATTGGGTGTGCTTTTATATGTCATAAGTGGGTTTGATCCCCCCCCCCCCCCGCATGAATATCATTTATTGATGACACAAATACCTGATCTTTAAAATAAATTTTATTTATCAATGTAATTTAACAGTTTTACAATATACAGCAGACAGGACTAAGACATTTCAATGTATTTTGGCCCTAAAGGTTGAAGAAGAAGAACAGACGGTTAGATAGAGATATGACAGAAGATACCAGAAGAACTGTGCTTTTCATCTGTGCATTTCCTCTTTTACGCATGGTAACAACACAGAAGTTTGCAAACTACACTTGGACCATTTCTTTCAGGAGGACCACGAGAATCGCTCCCCCCAACGTGAACGTTGTGCATACGTCATCAAACACATCTCCTCCAGTTGCTTGTAAAAAAAAGTGTTTTAAACATAGTATTACATGAGATACATATGAATCAGTGGTAATTTCAAGAGGCAAACAGGGTAGTGGACTTTGTCCAATATGATCAACGTTTTGCACCTCTGTGTGCTCTTTCTGTTTTCACATCAAAAGCTAATATGCAGTGCAGAGCCGTATTTTAGATACCCCATGCAGAATCGACCACAGATTGTGAAATGAAAAATGGGTCCTGAAATCTGTGGAATCATTCTTCCTCAATTAACATATCATTATTTCTGACAGCAATATCATTATTATTATTTGGTGTTTGTTCTGCTCAGGTTTTAAAATGTCTGGGATTAGTCTGTGAATTAGTGGCCACTGCTCTTTATTACGTTGCTGCAAACACTGTCCATTCCCAAGCTCACTCACTGTAAAAGCGTATTATTTTTCTGTAGTTCAAGTTTCAATCCATAGCTTTTTGTTTGGCAATACTCATATAATATCAGTTGACTATGTCTTGTGTTGTCTGAGAATATGCGTTTTGAAAATAAACAAAAGTCGTCGTCACGGCACACGGAGAAACAATGACTAAAATCTTAAGACAAAATAGGTCGCCTTCTTTCTCTTCTATTAGTACAAAATTGTATTGTAAGATGGGCTCCATATAATTACCAGGTAAGACTCGAGATTAGAGGTACATTGACAGGAACATCACGTCTGCTCTACGCGCAGACTCAGCAGTAAACGCGAATCCACTACATGCAGTACACAACACACGGGACATCTACATTAAACATCGAGAAATGACAAATCCAAAGGAACCTCATACTCGCCCCCCTCACACACGCGCAGTCATTTATATAATTTGGACATTTCTATACAAAGGTCAGAAAAGTGGTGGGCCAACAGAGATGCGCTTCATCAAGCTAACATGACAACATGATGTTATTACTCCTATTAAGACAAAATAATTTCAGCTCCGAGTGACCCAAACACGCTGGGGGTGACGTTACACTTTGAGGAAGTAACACGTTTCCGTCAAAAGATGTTCCACCGAGCACCGGTTTTTCAAGGATTCAATTAAAATAAAACAAAATGCATCCTACATGTTGAATTTAAGAAAGTAAAGGCATCCCTCTGACATTAATAGGAATAATGTAGCCTATTGATTTCTATTTTCCAGTAAGTGTCTGGTTTGTGAAAATGTGTTTACAAAACCGTGTCAGAAAGAAACTCTTTCACATTACATTTTGTGAAAAGTCTCTCTGGCCACCATGGGACACTTATTGTGCTTTCACTGATGTGCGTTTCAACACAGGCCCATCTTGTGGCATCTTGAGTAACTGCACTGTGGGAAGTCTGAGGGGATTTTTTTTTTCCCCACGAGCGAATGCTGAAAAAGAGAAGGAAATAACAGGCCTGATGGGGTCCAATAAGTGTGCTGAAATCGTTTGGCTTTCTGGGGGACTCCAAGTGACATGCTCGATGTCCATGCATAAACAATTGAAATGGTTGCACTCCTGTATTCCTCAAGTATTTTATTATTATTTTTTTTTACTGCAATATACTCTATACAATAGTGTCGTTGGACATACATCCTGTCGTTACAGTGTTCTGGCTCGGCAAATAATTTGGGTGTGCGGCAGTTTATTACCATACACTCAAGAAAGTAGTCAACTCTGCACCGGTGGACTTCCAGGTGTCAACAAAACAAAGGTAAGATGAAAATACTCTTATATTCTCTCTCGCAAGGTCCCAAAGGACATTTAAGTGAAAGGGTAAGCATGAATATTTAAAATTCTGATTCAAGTTTTTATTTTTGTACAAAAACTACACTATGACAACAGTGAGATGATTAAATGATACGTCTAGTACAAAACTATATGACTACATTTCACAGTTATGATAAAGGTCTGTGCTGTTCTGGAAACAAGCTGCCATTTTTTTTTGTTTTGTTTTTTTTTTTTTTTTGCTTGAAAGATCACATCACAGCCTCAGAACGTGATAAACTTGTGCAGAACCGAACACAGAACACACCGCATAGGGTGGACTGCTACAACCACACACAATAAGACGAGCTATCAGCCAGTGATGCCCTCGCTGGCTACCTCCGCTCAAGATTCTCCCTCATGCACATCCAAAAATTGCATTTTACACAAAAAGGATTGCTGGAAGACCAATAGACAGACACCACTTTTAAAAACTTCTAATACTGTTCTCAGACACATCCAATGGGCGCGCGTGTATGTGTGTGTTGTCTGATATTATAGCCAATAGTTTGTTTTCCAACAATTTCATTGATACAAGGTCTCCCCAGGCAAAGCAGAACGTTTACTTGGAACCTGAGAATAGCCCTGGTATTTCTTTAAAAAAAAAAAAAAAAAGTGCAATACTTGTGTGTAGTAATCAATTCAAGCAGCAGCTTTTCGGTCAAATACCATCTCGGAAGATTTTGTTTGTTTGTACTCTGTGTCTCATCGTCATTAAAAGAAGCACGCTAAGGAGACAAACGGCAACGACTCTCGTCGTTCAAAACAACCTAGTGTGACGTCACTGCACTGTAAAATGCGTGTCATAAATGCTCCAGTGTAAATTAGTGGTTGCAATTATTGACTTTCTAGCCGTAGAAATCGGAATCAGCAGGTCCATAATAAGATGACAGGCATGTGTTTCTGTGCTGCTGCGAGCCCAACACAACCAGTCTTACAATCTACCATGCCTTCAACTGCATGAATATGGCATATACAGGTACATGTTTTTTTTTCTTTTTTTACAAACAAATGTAAGGAAAAAAAAAACCCCAAACAAACAGTCATATTAAATTATGTGCAACACATTTACAATCCACGCACACACGCAAACACACAGACTAACACTTTTGGAGAGTGACCCAATTGTTTTTCATTTTTTCTTTTTTGTGCCTTCGTTTTCCCTAAAGATAAAACGCAGGTAGCGAGGAGAGGTTAGAATGAATATAATGCGCCTTTACAATATGTAAAGGTCTCCAGCAAAAAGGGATCTTCCCCACAGAGGACTGTGGGAAAGTGTGTTGCGGAGAGTGGAGAAGGAAGGAGAGGGGGGGAAAAGGGGGAAAGGGCGTCAGTCGTGGGCGATGCCATCTATGCACTCGGGTTGGGGTTGTTGTGTGTGTTGGTGGAGCCGTTGCTTCCCTGGATGGTGAGGCTGATGTCATCCTTCCTCTCGTTGTCCTCCTCCCGCAGCTCCTCCTTCAGCTCGTCCTTCTCCTTGAAGGGACGGGCCTCCGCAATGTCTTCAGAGGCGGTGGGGGCGTAGCGGCCCGTGCGGTGCTCCCGCAGGGCCGGGCCCCACTTTGGATGTGCCTGGCACGCGTGCTTCAACCGCTGAGCGGTAAAGGGAAGAGGACAGGTGACTCAGAGGAGGAATGCAATCGGTAAATGCAGTCCAAAGCCATGTCTAATATTTAAAGTATACATGGGAAAAAAAATAGATATGTGGCTTTAGTGACATCTGGTGGAATCTTGGCGCCAAGCAACCGATAGGTAGCCTTCATTCGGGCATTTGTGGCTGTCAGGCAATGAGGTCTGCTCACCAAATTTACATCAATGCCTGAGTTGACTTTCCGCTGGTAAGTAAAAAACATCTTTGGGGGAAAAAAATAAATAAATGAAGATAATACCATCAGTATTATTTTGGTGTTGCACTTTAAAGGGCAAGCGCAGACAGGCACGCATGCATAAAAATCATTTTCTTCATTTTCTTGCCGGGGCAAGTCGAGTTTGGTACCGCGCTGCACCATGTTGGGTGTTCAGGCGCACCGAGGGCATTTTCATTTGCACACTCCAGTGCACCTGACAGGTTGGTCTGAACTATGGAACGGGTTTTACCTCTCTGAAGGTAGCCCCCGGTGACCTAGAGATCTTGTAGAAGGCATAGATGGGTATGCAGACCACTGAGGACAGCGCCATTGAGAAGCCAATGGCCAGAGACCAACCGGGATACACGTAGTCATTATAGGTGATAGGCTTGTACTGAATCACTGTGAAGATCAGGATGAACTGTGAGGAGAAAAGAGAAGCAAGTGAATATGGGAGTGCTCAGTTGTGTGCACTAAAAGGCCTTGTAAGGCCTTCTGCTGGCTTCCACAATATCACAAGCGCTGCCCTACAATGGCAACTTGAATGAAATGGTCACACTTGATTTTCAACCTCATTTGGGAGTCATTCTCTTGGCTGCGTGGCATTTCATTGCGTATCTTATGTCAGATTGTTTTGTTGTCTTGCCCGATCAGATCTCAGCTTCTGTGTGCTGCCCTATCAAAGTAAACTGCCCACGGGGCCTTCACATTTGTCATTGAAGATTAACTGGACATTGTGAAGATATGCTGGCTGACTTGTTTGAAAGTGGAAAAGGATTTATTCTTAAAGAGCAGCAGTATGAGGGCCAGCTTACAGGCAGACTTCCTCTGTTTGTAATGCCATGCATTGTTAAATAGTTAAGCGTACTTTATTTTAGGTTGAAAGTTTCTTTTATTCCACACAAGGGTTTTTTTTTTTGGGTGAAGAGAAAAACTCTTACCAAGTGGGCAGTTTTGGCTGTCGCGTCAGCCTTCGTTGGAGATGTCACTGCTTCTTTGTGACGTGTCTTAAAAACATCGGTTCGGGAAACCTTGGAAATAAGGCTCCCCTGACCCAGTCAAGGCTGCGCTCCAACCCCTTGCTGCCATTGAAGCGATGTGTCCCAGGTGTGTGCTGCCATCAACAGGGAGGAGGGCGGTGATATGCTCCTACACACCCGGGACGCATTGCTTCAAAGGTGGTAACCGCTTTACTTGTATTTTTCCAAGTACAGTAGTTCGGTTGACAGAACCCCAAAATGCCAAACTGCAAGGAAGACAAACCTCACATAGAAAAAAGCCCACACTTGCCACTTAAAGCTCAAAACTAAGATCAGTCGTGTATTTCATTTGCCCAATAATGTACTGCTGAGCATGACTTCGCTAATAGGTGAAATTGTAAAAGCACAAAAACACAACATTTGTTGAATTCGCAAGCTGATCATAGTTAGGAGCATAAATTGTCAGCTGCGGCGGAGGCCTTGTTTGTGTTGAGCAGTTCTTAGTCTGTGATGGAGAGCGGAAAAGGCCTCCAATCTGACCGGTAATCTGTTGCAATGAATGCATTGGTTGACCCAGAAGCGTAGTGGGCAAATACCGTACGTGTGTTTGGGAAATTCGACCGATAGCAGCTGCACGCACCCGTTTCCCAGTCAGAAAGATTTGCGCTTTAAATTGAAATTGGAAACAAAGCTCAACAGATTAGCTTGAAATGTAGGTCAGATTCCTAAAATGCGCTCGTGGTATGCAGACAGTAGCTTGTTGAGAAGGGAAACTTACAGAGATAATGACAGGCGAGATGAACCTCCAGCAGATTTTGAAGAAGAGCGGGGGAGGGAAACCTAACATCATCTCAACATCTTTAAAGTAGTTTCGGTGACCTGAATTTAAAAAAAAAAAGGGATGAAGTGATTTTCCATTTGAACGACATGCAAATAGAAAAACAAATGCAACCCTGTTTAGGAATTGAACCTTTCAATGGTAGCTACGAAATAATGTCTGCGGTGTGCAGGAAATGGGAAGAGTGACATGTGGTTAGTTATTACCAACCCCAGATCGCCTGCAGAAGTGATACGACAGGTCAGATGCATCGCAGAATTATCCGAGTGCTCATTTGGATGCTATTGCCACAGTTCAAAATTCAAGTGAGAGTTTTTCCGTGATTGCATCTTTGCAACAATTTGTGACCTGTTACCCTTCCTGGATAAGGTGTTTTAAAAAAATACATTCAGTGTTTAAAAGTACACTTATAGTGGCACAGAGGGCCAAGGACAACCAAAAAATGACATTCACTGTACATTGTAAGTCATACATTAGACGAAGAAAGAAAAAGATATTCCTGTCTCACAATGATGTGACGGGAGGTTTCGTATCTTCTTCAAAGACATCGAAACAAGCCTAAGGGGGAAATTAGAAGTCGAACCAGCTATTCTACGATTAATACTTCTAACTGTATGCTCTTTTTTTCCATCCAACCAGCAAATCGAGAGACTTAATGTTGATGTTCAGCTCACAGAAATGACTTCTTTCCATAATAACTGAGAGAAAGCTGCCGGAAAGTAGCCAGACATTGACAATGATAAGAAAACTAGGCCACCAACCCAAAATAAGTCCAAAGTCAAAAGCCAGTTTTTTGAAAAAAGGGTTCATCCCCATCCCGCATGAACAATGAAACGTTTTTTTTTGAACACGGCTCCTTACCATAAACATACATGATGCAGACACACATGATGCAGGAGATGATGACCAGAGAGAAACTAGCAGCATAGTTATCCATCAGTAGCAACCAGTAGATTCCTGCCTGCAGACGTAAACAACAACAACAAAAAAGGGTCAAAACACCCCGCCATTACAGTACAAGAAATGCATGGCAGTAGATTGTCAATGTATCTCACTGGATATATTCCAGGGCCCGGTTGTTATTTTTAGCCACTGGTTAAGTGTGTATAACCAACCGTTAACTTTAACGGCCCCGTTACCTTGTTCACGACAAAAATAAAAATAGGCAGGGTGTGTTTGCTGTGCTTTGGCTTGACCTGTGTTGTGAGTGGAACTCCCAGGAGGAATCCAACGATAGCCACACACAGTGTAACTACAGTCTTGTTCCTGATGATCCAGTCGGTGCCAATCTCATCGACAATGGCTGTCACCAGCGTCTCCAACAAACAGAACTAAAGGAAAAAAAGTGAGTGAAAAAAGAAGGAATCATCAAAAAAAAAAATGCATCTATTAATTTCTTTGACTGATAATGAGGAAATTTACCCCGTTATCTGTTTATAATTTCTAATCTCTCACAAATAAAAGTTTCGCCGTTGACATGACATTGAAGAAGCTGAGTCCTGCCTTTATACAAACGCATGATGCGGCCTATAGAAAAAGTCGCGATGCTGAAACTTGCTTTCTAAGCCTGACCTGAGTTCCCAGTCCCAGAAGGATTAACATGAAGAAGAAGAGAAGCGACCACAGTGGAGAAATGGGCAGCAGAGTGAGGGCTTCTGGGTAAGCCACAAAGGCCAGTCCCGGGCCATGGTCGGCGACCTCTGACACGGGCACGTTCAGGTGGTGAGCCATGAAGCCCAGGATAGAGAAAATGACAAAGCCAGCGTAGACGCTGGTCGCACAGTTGGTTATGCTGATGATGATGCTGTCTCTGTACAAAGAAACACAGGTTGGATGGAAATTAACCAGTTGCGAAGGCACAAGTTATAGCTCACAAATCAACCATAGCTTTAAAAACCTTGCTTTACGCTATGGGGCACAGATTTGCTGGCACAGAAAATTCGTTCCCCTCATGCCCATCTAACAGTTCAAAGCACCTGAAACAATTGTTGTGGAACTTGTTGTACGAAGCCATGGTAATCAGACCGCCCCACGCACATCCCAGGGAGTAGAAAATCTGCGATGCGGCGTCTCCCCACACCTAGAAAGACAACGACAAATTGATGACAGCAAGTGAATGTAGCAATCGTGCTCGATCATTTTAAAAACAAATGGTTATTAGAAATCTCCGAGCCCAAACTGTTTTGGAATAAATACCTTGGCATCGAGGACCTTCTGCCACTGAGGAGTCAAGTAATACATGATGCCGTTGATGGCTCCATCCAGGGTGATCCCGCGGATAAACAGGATAGTCAACACAACATATGGGAACGTGGCTGTGAAGTAGACCACCTGCAAAATGACCCACATGCGCACTTAACGACTTCGCAAACACGGCATGGTGAGATGAGAGGAAATCTCTTGGCTTGGCCCGTTTTCATCAGGTCCAACTCGGACCCCGCGACAAGTTATCCATCCCCGCAAGTGTTTGACTGACCTTTCCGGAGGATTTGACGCCCCTGATGAGGCAGAGGAAGACAACGACCCAGGACACAGCCAGGCAGCCCAGGATGGGAAGGCGCACTTCTCCAAAGTTCCCGATGCCATCAGAGATGTCCAACACATAGTGTCTGAAAGGAACGCGCCCGTGGGCCTTTTTACAAGCATGTCCAAAATCTTTTTTGATTGGGTTTCTTTGTTCCAAACCGCTGTCTGATCTTAGACCCGCTTTGTCGATTTCTGCAGCAGCAGCTAACAATTTAACATTTTCATAACAAAGGAAGAAATTGGATTTCCAAGTTGTGTGTCCGCTGCAGATTTTTTTTGGGGGTGGGGGGGGGGGAATAATCCAAGGCCATTTTCACCAGTCCTTTTTCAGAATGATGTGGTCAACCCACACATGCATGGCCGGAACTGAGAGCCCACCTGCCACATATTGAAGCGAGTAATTCATTCATTCATGAAACACAGATTAGATATTAACAGCACTCACCCAAAGGACCAATTTTAGAACAGACACAGTTGTTTACGCATTCATAACATCCTGAAGAGTCGTCATCTTAGCACTTGTATGCTTGTATATGTTACAACTGGATTCATGTTTAGGTTTGGAAATCATTTGTTCAAGAGTTACTGGAATTTCATCTTATTTCCGAACAAGCTACGAGTTCAACTATCGGTTTAAACGAGGCGGCCTCGAGTGTTGACTCTGCCTTGCCCCTGTGAGAATGTGTGACCTCACGGTCATACCTCAAATCAACTTCTAGGTCTGCCAAGAGTGTCATAGAGAAGGGTAGCCAAGTAAAAGCAAGAGGAAGGTCAGAGCCAGGTCACAAGTCACCTGTCCAATCATATGCGCCAAAGAGGCCTGATCTACCAGCATCACAATTCATTCAGAAATTGTGACAAAGCGAATGCACTGAAAACCACACCGAATGAACGATGCATACGATGCAGAGCTGTCTTTCGCTTACCGTTCTGGTACCGCGCACATCTGAGTCACCAAGCAAAGAGAGTATTTTCTTACCCCCTCTGCTGGTTACAATAATGGCCAAATTCTGCAACTATGAGACATTTTTCTCACGTAAATGGGCCCGAAACGTTTTTTTTTTCTTTCTTTTCCTCTCTCCTAAAACACGATATTGTATTCATGAGTGGTCACAAAACTTGAGAAAAATCTGTTCTGTTTTAAATGTTCTCCAGTAAAGCCTGACTTCAGATAAATGGGGAATGTCTTTCATCGGAAATTGGTGAAAAGCTGCTGCATTTCCAGGAATCTAGTCCAAATATTGGAAACAAGTCCGCTGAACTGACGCACGTGTGAGCCAACCTCGTCAAACAGGTGCATGATGGACCTTGAGCACAATGAACCCTTGTTCAAATAAGGATATTGCACAACTTATCTATCCTCTTATGGCCTCTCCAAGAACATTCTGTACCAGAAACGAATATTATATAATAGTATTTCCCTTGTCCTTTGAAACATTTTTATGTTAAGGGGATGTCCGAAATGTGGCTACCCCATAAGTTAAAAAATAACAAAAATCAAAAATCTTCCTTTTTTCTCACAGCGGCGCATATATTATTTATTTATTGAGTCAAGCCGTGATTCAAACCTAGAATTCCTTACAGCGGTGCATATCTGTCAACCACTCACCATCCGTGCTGCCCGCGATTCAAGATGTTGTTCCGAGTGTTTTTTTTTTTTTTCCTGCGACTTACTTCCAGTATTCCTCACTGGGGCTGGTTCTCTTGGTGCGGTTGACGATGTCACTGACCCCGTCCACCATAGTGCGAGTGACGTTAGCTATGCTGCCGTTGCTTTGGGGCACCACGCCGCTGCAATCCGGCGTATTCCAGGGATTGTTGCAGTACGTCCATGGCAATAAGTTGGTCATGGATGTGAAAAAGTAGTAGAAGGCGATGCAAATAACCACATTGTAGTAGATGCCGATATAGGTGGACACGACCATCATGCCATAGCCCACACCTGCAGGACAGAAGAGAGGATACATACCGGTAGTTGCGAAATGCGGTCAGAATAACAACATTCAACAGTAATCGTGCTGTATGGGCCATAATTACGATGACAAAAAATGAATGGTTGAGCTTCTGGCTTAAACTTTGACTTGGATAAAAGAAAAAATGGAAAAACTACATTCTTGTTGAGCAAACAAAACAAAACAAAAAAAGAACAGTTTGAATTATGTTTGTGCTTTTACATGCAACTAAAAGGATTAAGCTGTCAGGGTTGGGTCAGCATAACTTTGCACTGTGCCACAGGTCAAGAGTTGCCCCATCACGTTTACCTTCCATCAATCACGTTTTTGACAGACTTTGACAAAACTGTGGCAGGTTGTTTACGATTCAGAAACACACATTTTACTCCTCTGGGACTTTGTTTCAATCATTTTCACACAAAAGCTGTTGAATGGAACTAAGCCAGATACACTGCCATTGAGAAAATACTTTTATTCAACAATATTATAATGAGAATAAGGGGTTTTGAAAATGGATGGATGTGAAAGAAAATGTGTGTGTGTGTGTGTGTGTGTGTGTGTGTGTGTGTGTGTGTGTGTGTGTGTGTGTGTGTGTGTGTGTGTGTGTGTGTGTGATTTTTATTTTTATTTTTGTAATTCATGGACCACCTGGTCTCGATCCATTATATTGCGATTAGACTTATCTGTTTTGGAATATTGATCCAATGAATCAAATGAGAATGACGAAGAGATTTAAGTGACAAGAAAGTCTGACATTCAAACCCACAAACCTTTGAACATTGGGCTAATCTTCCAGACTCCCAGACACCCCTGGCTGGCGAACTGCCCGAAGGACAACTCAAGGAAGAAGAGGGGAATGCCACAGAACACCAACATGATAAAGTACGGTAGCATGAAGGCACCTGGAGGAGAAGTTAGGACAGTCACGAGTCACATCAACGCAAGCTTGTGAGGGAACGAAGATTGAGTGGCCAAGAAAATTCTTATGATGTCATGACGGAACCAAACTTAGAGGAGGAGCAGACATGCATTTGTTTGCGTCAAGACAACACTCGAGGCCAAATATATGAAATAGGTAGCTATGACATTTTTCAACGCCCCTGATGATCAATATGTGATCAGGATCGTTCTCAGTCTCCTGCCAGATTTGCTGATGTGCTGAACATTACAATCGGGTGTTGGAGGCGGGAAACATCTCAACAATGCACAATCGTGGCCCTCGAGGGCCGCAGTTTGACAGCTGTGCCCGAGGGCCACGAGCGATTCCACGAATAAATCTTTGAGCTAACTAAGCCCATTTATTAAGGGGAAGTTCATCTGTATGCGCTCACCTCATATGTCTCATGCGGCTTGCAACGAAGCATTACGGTGATCGATTCGAACAAAACAAGCCTACCGGTACTCAAATGTATCTAACGCGGGCAGAGCGCCAGCATTATTTTCTCTCCATTTGCCAAGAAAGGCAGAGCAACACACAGGATCGGCGGCGATGTGAGAGCGCGGCCACCTTTGGTAATGTTGCAACTGTAAAAGCAGATTAGGTTGTCTATGTCGATGATGGACGTGAAACGGTACCGCTCAAAAAGAGAATTGTCTGAAAATGCGCGGTCTGATAACCGTCCCCCGATGAATACTTATTTCTCGGCACTGTCATGCTGACTCGATAAATGTCGCTAAACTGTTGGAGGCGGCGCACACGATGCATCAGCTGTGCCCTACTCGATCCTATCAAAAAAGGCAAGACCGGATGTCTCGACACACCTTTGACCGGTCTTCATCTTGGTTCGTGGCTCACGTCGCCACTTGAAATACAACTGAGACGTGAATAAAAAAGCCAGATCGACAGTGTGCCGTCAATATCCGAATCCAAGTGTGCATACTTTTTTTTTTTTTTTTCCAACCCCGCATATTCTTATTTGTTTTGTGGAAGCTATCAGGACTCATGCTCCAGTGAGCTAAAAAAAATTACATTTCATACCGGCGTCATGACAGAAATTATTGCTAAATGGACCCTTAAATGCATGATTTACATCCAAATGACGGGTTCCTAATTCAATTTCATCCAATTAGACTGAGGTAAATTGTACAATACGCACGAGTGAGCAAAGAACAAAACAAAAGTATTTGTTCTTTGTCTTCATGCATTGCTCTTTTTTTTTTTTTATCAGTTGATCATTCCGCGTGTTCAGTGACATGTTTAGCATGCACATTTGCGCGCAACGTAGTTCTCTGCGATGAAATGCCCACCTCCTCCGTTTCTGTAGCAGAGGTAGGGAAACCTCCAAACATTGCCGAGACCCACGGCATAGCCGACGCTCGTGAGGACAAACTCAATTTGGTTCCCCCAGTTGCCTCTCCGCGAGTTTTCATCCTTCTTCACCGGCTCACCTGGAACGGCTCCATTCTGCAACAAAAGACACAGTGAAGGTCAGCTCATACGGCAACCGGTTGATGTGTTTCACACGTTGCTGCTGCAACAAGTACAAGCTCTAGATATATTTATGCATTCAAATGAATTCCTTTTACATGGAAATGTGCAGCCAAGGGGGAGCATCAAGTTGACCTGCAAGAATATACAGCATATGTGTTCAACCAGAGATGTCATAACCTTCATCGTTATTTAATTCTATTGCGTTCTTAGTGAATCCTAAAAAAAATGCTTGCTTGTTAACATACAAACGCCACGAAAAAAAAAAAACTTGGGCACGGCAGTAGGGCATACGGTGCTGTCGGCTATCGCTGGTTCTATTTGCTGTTGTAGGTTAGGTTGAACATGTTTACGTGCATCAGTGCTTTGTGAATGGCTCAAGATGCTTATCAATATGTACTGGCTGCTTAATAATAAGCACATATTCTTGTTTCCTTAAAAGCACCTTTCCCATTGGCGAACATCCGATCAGTGGAATCAACAATCGATCTCATACGGAAACGACTTTAGTTTGCCAGTTTAGCGTAACTTTGAATGCACTGGAGCAGACAGGATCCAAAGTGAAACTACCGCCTTAAGAAGAGTCCGTAAGCATTTGGTCTTGTCGTGCCGATTTCAAGCTTCCTCTGCCCGTTTCTCCCTCCCTCCATCATTCCATCTGCCGCCATCAGCTGGTCGCGCTCTCACTCCACGACCGGCTCTGTAACCTCCACTACAGTGCAGTGAAAAAGTTTTTGCCCCCTTCCTAATTTTTTATGTCTTTGGCATATTTACCCCACATCTGTCTCACAAAGACAAGTACATACAAAACGTTAAAATGATGATTTTATTGATCAAGGAGGAAAACATGTATGGCATTGAAGTAATGACACTCTGAAAGTGCTCACGACTTGTGCCACCCTGGCCAGTAATAACCGTAATCAAGCGCTTGCTGGTCATGAGTCTTTTGTTTCCTGATGGAAGAATTTTGGCCCACTCTTCTTGGCAGAATTGTGTTGCAGTCACACTGGAGGGTTTTTGAGCAAGAACTGCACCATCTCAATTGGATTTAAATGCACTCTTTGACTTGCACACTCCATAACCCTTTGACACTGATTGTAGCAAAGTCCCAACAAACCGCTTCTGCTCCAAATGCAGCCAAAAATTGTGTCAGTATTCCTGTATCATCTCCCTGTGCAATTCGAACCCGCGCGGCCTGCACGAATGGACCACTAGATTGCCAGTGTCTTGGTAATTAAAATGCTAGATAATTACCAAAGACGGCCACAACAGCAAACTCCACATTATTGTCGAGTGGAGCTGTAGTTTGACGGAGAGGCATGAGGATGAAAAGAGACAAGCAGCCGGACAGCAAAAGGCCAACAACTTGACCAAGTAAACAGCTGGTGTTTTCTCGGCAGTCTTTGAGACTGGCTGTACTTGCTTGTCAGAAAAATAAACCAAAGAGCCTGTTTTGAGCATCCCGGGGTCTTCGAGCAGGTGGGACACTCAGGGGGCTGAGCAAACAAGTGCTGGTAAGAATTCGAAATGTCACAGCGGTGTGGATGAGCTCTCACAGCGTCTGAAGTTGACTTTGGAAAGAGACAAAATGCCAGAGGCAGATTACAGCTGTGGGTTTGTTGTTGCAAGTCACACATATTATATGTCTGACTTCTATCGGCAACCAGGTGTGTGCCTTTAGAAGAGATACGCACACACACACACGCACGCACAGATGCGTAAAATGTATATGCAGCGTCAGATCAAGAAAATAAATCGTGTGATTTGAAGGTATGCTGAAACGTTAACAGTGCAACGTGAAATCTGTCACCGTTAAAACAAAATGATATTTTCCTCCAGGCTAAAAGTCAAAATGACACAGATAAGATCCACTTTGCTTATCGGCTGGGCCCCGA